CAGTGCCTTCTGTTGGGAGTCCTATGCTGATACAGAGGATCCCTATGGGGTGACTTCTCTTTGCTCCTGCTAGCACTCTACAGGTTTCTGTGGTTCTGAATCAATCTTTGTTTGTTGGCTCAAGGCTTCTAAACCTGGCAGGTAGTACGAAATCAAGCTCCACAACATCCCAGAGGCCAGGGCTTATTTTTAGAGAGCGGCACTTGGTTGTGCTCAGTGGCCTGAGATAGGCAGTTCCTTGGCTTACTGACCAGGTAGTATTTTTCTAGTCCACTGTCAGTGACAGAACAGTAACTTCCGGTGCCTGGACTTATGTGAGGAGTCCAATCCCAGCTTCCTACAGTACACAAGGGGCCTGGAACCTTTACTCCCCTCAACTGCATTAGTACTTGTCTCAGGCTCACTGCCATGGTCATGTCACCTGGTTCCTGTGTTGTGTGTGGTTTGCAGCTGCATGCTTGTGTGCCTTCTTCTAGATGTGAGGACAGGGCCTGAGTTTCTATGGCTTGTAACAGGGCTCAGCGCACAGCCGGTCCTGCTGGACCCAGCTCTACTGCAAGCCTCTCCTTCCTGGAGGTAGGGCGTGAGCCTGGGCCTAGCTCTTTTAGCTCCTCCCTGTTGGTAGGGTAGCAAGGGTGAGGGGCTCTATGCAGAAGTGCCCCTTTTTGTTCTCTGCTCTGGAGGATCAAGAGGAAGAGGCAGAGGTTACGTCAGTGTGGGAACTGCCGTGGGGCCACTGAGTTCCACATTCTGCCTACCTCAGCGTCACATGCCAAGACAGAGAGAGCCGCAGGAAGACTTGTTGAACATTTATTCCCTGTTTTTTTTCTTTTTAATTTCCTCTGAAAGGAATATGAACACACGATGCTCTTTACACTCCGCAGGAGCTAATCTCCCACTGGAAGCTTCGGGGAGCCTCATTCCTCCTCACGGATGCAATCTGTCGACACCGGCTTTCCTCCGGGATCTCCTGAAAGGCCCACGGTGGATGGAGCAGCTCTCTCCCTGGGGCTCTATTACATTTGTAAGCCCGGTTTCTTAAAAAAGAAAATAACAGAGGAATTGCTTCCAGAGCCCAAATGCCTGTGTGAAAGGCAGCCTTCGCCTTGAGGCTCGGCGGCTTTCAGTGGCTTGTCTGGGCCCCGGAGTGTGCCCACCACTCGACGGGCGCCGCCGGAGGGGGGATGGTCACTCAAGCCTCGACCTACCACACACGCTCAGGAGGAAATGTGTGCTTTCGCCGTTGAAAGAACAATGGGAGAAAAATGAGATTTTAATAAATGCAAGCGCTTAATTAGTGTTATTCGCTCAATGAAATCATATTTCCCTTGAATGTTGTCTTGGGCCACATATCCGTGTCATCAGCAAAAGGAAAACCAGGCTGAAATGTTTAATTCCTCCAAATCATAGGATGAGATTCTTGATATACATCCAGTGGGCATTTATTATTAATTGGTGCGTGTGTAGCACTATGAGGGGGCTCTGTGGAAGCATTTTTGTCAAATACGTCTCTGGTATCAAGAAGCTTCTTTTTTAAGGTACCTCATTTATTTTGTAGCCAGTTCAGTGGGATAAAAATTTTCTTGGAATTGCTAATCTGGTTGAGAAGATTTAAATTATTCAGGGCTATGGAAGGGACCTGTTCAATTATCTGCCCTGCCCTTTCACACATTTGTGCTTTTAAATCACACAGAGTATTTTCTCTGCACAGAATAAGGGAACCTCATTATAAAGCATTTCCAGCTCTCTCAGTGAATCATGTGGAATGAGAATCCATCTTAGAGTTCAAGTCATATATCTCCCCTACGCTATCTGATGAAGCATTCTGCTGGTTCCTTGGGTGGCCAATCACATGACAGATATATGACTTTGAGACGGGAACTGAAATAAAATTCCTATAATACCCTTAGGGGGAAGGGGGGGATTGTCACTGTGCAGCATTTTGGTCAATGGCTTAATTTTCTTTAAACTTCTCCCTCCACCCTCACTTTGAGCTTGGAACTCAATGCAAAAGAGCTGCTCCACAATACTTTACGCTGCTAACCATTTTCAAATTTTCTCCCAAGGGTTTCAGGTGCTAAATGATATAACATATGCCCTGGGGGAGTTAATGGAATACTCTAACAAGCAACCTCAAGAGTGCTTTACACAGTCAGATTCTAGGAGAGAGAGGGATTAAAAAACAAAGCATCTGGTGCTTCCAGAAACTACTCTTTTGATGACACGTCGGCACTGAATCTAAAAACCAGATGGTACGCTCTCAGACACTTATTGTCAGGTGGCTTTGAATGGCACACAAGACCCCAAAATCCTCCAGCCCAATCCTTAAATCTGTCTCATCCATATAACAACATCATGAGGTGGAAGCAATGGTGTAAATGTATGACTTCCACCTCAGAGATCACATCAAGGGTTTGAAATGCATTCCCTAAGAAGTCATTACACGGTGGTTTCCATTTCTGACTCATAACTCAGTAAATGGCCATTCCATCCTTCCAGCTTCTCAGACCAGAGACCTAGAGTTATCTTTGATTCCTTTTTCTCTCACTCAACACCCAAGGTGTCAGCAAATGCTGTTGACTTTACTTTCGAAATGCATCCAGAATCCAACCACTTCTCACCACCTCCACCGTGTCTATACTGGCCCAAACTACCATTATCTCTCCCTTGGATTCCTGCAAGAGCCTGGGACTGGATTCTCTGCTCTACCCTTAGCCCCTACTGTCTGGTCTCCACTCAGTGGCCAGAGTAATCCTCTTACAAAGGCAGCCAGAACATATCACTCTTCTTTTCAAAATTCAGCTGTAGCACCCTTTGCGTGGCCCACACAGAGGAAAAACCAGGCTCCTGACAGGGGCCTCCTGGGCCCCATGAGGTCCTTGCTCATGCCCTATCTGACATCTAACTTGTCCTTGCTTGTGCTCTACCTAACTTCTCCTCACCTCACTCACTCCAAAACACCCATGCTAAACTCCATGACACTCTTCCAACAGGCCAGGAACATCCCATCATAGGGCCGTTACACTTTTCATCACGTCACCTGGAACACCCTTCTCCCAAATAACAAATGTGGAAATGTGGCTGCTCCTTCCCCTCCTCAAATCTCATCCCAAAGGCCACGGTCCCAGTGGGGCCCACGCTGATCACTCTCAAAAACTGCAACTCCCAACTCCTGGCATGCATCATCCCTTGTCTGTTTCCATCTCTCTACAAAACGTACCACCTAACAAACCATTTATTTACTCATTTCTTTATTCATTTATTAATATGTCTCCCTCCACTAGAACATAAGCTCCACAAGGGCCAAAATTCTCATCGGCTTTTTTGGCTCTGTATATGTAGCACCTACAAAGACACTGGCCCCCTGAAGGTGTTCAATAAATATGTGAGCAATGAATGAATAATCCTTGTACTATGTGCTAGGTACATCAGAACTCTAGGCTTTGATAGGCTTATTCTCCGATATTTCTGGACACATATACCACAATAACGTCTTCAGAGTCTGTAGTGGGTTTTGTTAGTGGAGGAAACAGAGGACTGTACAGGATTTCAGAAATGCTGTTGGATCGATTCCACATTCCAGAAGGTGAGGGTACATCAAAGATTCAGGAGACAGGCCATTTCAGCAGGTCAGGGGGTCGGGTAGTAGAGTCCTTCTGTATAGGGACTTTGGTCTAGTTTTAGTAGAACAAGGGCCTGGAGTGACTGTGGGAAGACAGCATGTACTGGTGTCCTGTCCATATCTGCTTCTAATGGCAACCGCACACTCATGTCCAACACTGAGATTTTCTCCTATGAAAACAGACACTCCCTCAAACATGAGTATGACTGCAGAAAAGAACTTTCCAGTAGAAACCTGGGAAGCAAGAGGAATGTACTATACGTCCAAAGATTCATTTTTTGATTTGAGATTGGTTTGGGGTTAGGGTAAAGTAGAAAGGGAAAGTTGACAGTAACATGTTTTTTGAGGATTCTAATTTTTTGCAAGGAAAATAAAGACAACGTGGAAAAGAAATATCTGATCAGAATTTTCCTCACTAGTAACATGAATATTTTTTAGTGGAGTTTGGGGCGGGGGGCAGGGGAGAAAGTAAGCAGAAAAGGAAAAATAAAACTTCTTTTTCAAAATGAAATTTCTTCAACAGATCTGTTCTCTCTGGGTCTTTTCCTGTTACATAATCTCAAATTATTAGCTCATCGCAATTATCCGTTGCCAGTTGAGTGCCAAGGCAAAAATGACATCACTGAAACACAGAATGCCTTAATTCTGTTCCAAATCCTGGAAACCACCTTACAATATTTTCCAAAGAACTGATAAAACATAAATAAACGTTTTGAGCAAAAAATGGCTTCAAGTTAGGATTTGCCCAGACGTCAGATGATTTTTTGAGAGATAGTGATTGCCATGGTCATAAAGATAGAAGAAAGTCACATGGTTTATTTTAGACTAAGAAACTTAGACAAATTCCTCAGTCATAGGTCTACGAGTGTTGCTGTTTCTCATCCCGATGACTACTTAGGAGGAGGCACACCCAATTAACCAGAGGGCTTTTACTCCTAATTCCATAGCACTGTTTTCTCATTATTTCATTTTTGCATATAATGTGCCTCTGGTGAGACCATACATCCCTTCAGAGCAGGAGCTGTACCTTGTGCGGCTCTAGTAACCCCATAAGGCGGCAAGCACAGAACCAGACACATAGTAGGTGCTTGATAAATACCAGCTGCCTTCACATCGCTACCACCGATCATTTAGAAGTCTGACAACGGTTTTGAAATCGTAAACAGGTGAAGAAAGGACTGGCCTGTGTAAGTCGAGATGCCCTGTGAAAAAGCAAAGCACAACAGAGGGGAAAAGAAATCGAGGGAACAGACTCGTGCACATTTGCATCACGTATCAGAGCGAATCATATTTCAGGAGTCTCAAGCAACACTCTTAAAACGTTAGCTTTCAAAGAGGTATTTTGAGAGGTGAATGCAGAGCTAAAATAAATTCTTACAGTTTTCATCCTGGGCAATGCATTGTAAGGGGATCCCAAAGAAAGACGTATAGCTGTCATTGTACCACACCAGAAGCTCGGTACCCCTGGGGATATCTATACAGGCTCGGTAGAATATATTCGACCTATTCAAAACAAAAGAAAACCCAGCTTAGTAAGAGGTACATTGTTATTGCCCCGAAAAACTTGTGCCCAGCTCCATCTACACAGTTTGTAATAAAATCTGCACCACCACCCCTTATCATTCCCAGCAACCAATTAGAGCCTGTACCCCAGAGTGATAAACACCTTCCAGTTTATGTCTACAGTGTCCCTCCACAGAACATCGTGGCTGGAGAGACAGATATGGGGCCCAGGAGATAGCAGAAAGCCAGGGCTCATTAAAAAAAAAAATTCCATCTTACACTAATGAGAAAATTCTGTCTCTTGGCAAATTGCAGACACCGGTGCCTCACCCTCATATATAAATTAATGTTATTGATTTCTTATTTGAAGGAAAAGCATTACACGTATTCCTGCGACTTGGCACTGGCAGTCCCCAAATTTGCAGTAAAATCAAGCTGCTTTGTGACAGAAGGATGGAGGGAAGTAAAAAAAAAAATCTCCCCCCATTGCCTGTCTTCTAAAGTTTGACACAAGAGAAGAGAAAACCCCTCTTACGGGGAACGAATGAAAATTCAATAAATACAAGGGGAGCGCTTTACTCTGGCTGAAAGATTACCCTTTGAAATGATAGAGTGAACGCACCAAGAAATAAACATTTTTTATAACAGCTTTGGTACTATAAAGAAAAACCTACAGATTAAAAAAAAAAAAAATGAGACCGTGACCGGCTTCCTCAATGAGGAATTGCTACAAATATTAGCCTCAAGTTCAAGATAAAAGTGTTTAGGGTTGGTGGGCCTTAAATTTAGCCTTTCTGCAAGGAATTGGCTGTAGTGGGGCAATTTGTTCCTTGTATAACACTGCAGACATAAGGTGAATCCTTCACCACATTTTTCATGGCAGTGAGATATGCACTTGTCAACATATTTTGTCACCACAAAGTGGCTCTTGGCAATAGGATCATAAAGATCAATAAAAAAGTGCAGATTCTCAATATTTTACTTGCAGCTGCAAAAATTTCATTTATCTTGTTATTTTCCTTACTTGCTGCCATTCTGTCTCACGAGGGCACTGCTAGCTAAGCAGAATGTTTTTCCCAACATTCTATGAATATCTGACAAAAACTCCAGCCAGTTGTCCAGACCTCACTACCCTCCTCCCTGCGCAACTCCAAGAGCTGTGCATTTTATTAATTCTTTCCACTGCTACATAAAAAAAAAAAATCAAAATTGGAGCCGAGCTATAAATCACTGGCATCTCCTAACTTGAGAAAAATTGAGTCGACTTTGGACTTCACCCTTGTAACATTTCATCTCTCCGTTTGGCTTCCCTTAATATAAACACAGCGCCCGGCAAATGAATGTGCTAAAACCAAATGACACACTTTGCCGCTGAAAGAGCAGAACTGTTTTCGAGCAATGGGTGGTCTTCTGAGGCTCGGAGTAGGCCGAGAGGGGGAGAAAAAAAAAAAGAAACCGTGTAAGCGTACACCGTTCCTTACAAGAGGGCAGAGCTTCCAAAACTCGCAGAAATCTCTGCATGTTGGAGCACATCAAAGGGATTTTTCCCTTTTCAGATAATATTTCCTTTGCTGACATGTATTTAGTATTGTGGTTGGATGACTCATAAAGATAGCTTCATGGCGTCCCAACGCAGTTGAAGCAGAACACATGCCAACAAACATTATTGTCAGCCTCAAAATAAAAACAAAACGTTCAGCAAAGGGTCAATCAATCAAGGGCGCTTTGAAGAAAATACCATTTAGATATTACAAATCATAACAGAATGAATCTAAACCAGCTGACTCTTCGTGAAGAGGACATTCATGTACAATAAAAATTAAGCTGGCTCTTCAGAGTCCAACTTTTCTATTTTCTTACTCTTGGACGTGGTCACTGGTGATGGATGCCAGTTTTTTTTTTTAAATTGTGTTTTTGTAGTTCATTTTAGAAAGATCCGAAGTAATCGAAAACAGATCAGCATGGAGATCTAGAAGTCTCAGCGCCATCACGAAAGGGGAGCTGTAAAATCCACTTATTATTGACAGAGAGGTGACTGCTTTACCCTGGCCCACCTCCCCCCTAGGGGCGTCTTGCTTCCCCCAATTCAGAATTTGCCTCGAGATCTCCCCGGGTGCTCATGACAGAACCAGCCAAATGATTTCTTGCTGAATGGACAAGCACGATGTTTACTAATTTTCGAGCTTCAAGTTTCATAAAACAAAACAAAACAAAACAAAACCTTCATGGCAGAAATGCGGCTGCAATAAAGGTGGGTAAAGCCTGCACATGGCAGTGTAACCAAATACCGTCATGCACTGTTTCACTGAAACCATTATTTAATGAAATAGAACTGCACAAGAAACCATGGCAGCGAGTCACACGCTGCCCAAATACGTTCCTTTTGAACTGGAGACCTTCGGAGAGCCAGCCAGATTTGTGCAGCCTTTAACCTATAAGGGGGATAAAACACCCCCCCCCTTTTTTTCCCTTTATAAGGCTCCGTGTTTAAAAAAGAAAAAAAAAAGAAAGAAAATAAATAGCCAGGGGCAGGGCTCCAAGTTGCCGAGTACAGGGCCTTCTGCTTTGATGTGTCTGTGGTGCCTAATAAAGCGAAACAGTTGCTTCTGATTCTAAAGGGAACACGGCTGTTTATAACTGAGGTCATATATTTATATGGCACATGTTTTCGAGGGATTTTGCAAAAAGAGCTTTTTCCCTATGTGATCTGTTTTTGGGCCCCCGTCTCCCCTCCTGCCTTCTTTGGCACTAAGTGGAAATGCTGGATGAACAGGTGCGCTGAGCGGATGCAGCGGGGATCTGGGAGTCCACCTTGCTCCTCTGCATCCCCCACATGGGATTCTGGGAAATGAGGGTGGCCATGCCTCGTCTTTGCTACCTTTTGGGCTTTGAGCAAACTTCTCAACACCTAAAACTGCCTCATCACCTAAAACATATTCTGAATTGTCCAAGAGCCAAAGCCAAACCCTTTGGCACCTTTCGATGGATGGAGCGGGAGAGGTTAATCAGGCTCAGCAGCCCGGGGCAGGGTGAGCGTGAGTCCTCCGTTTCCCACGCCTTTGTGTGCGAATGACAGTTTCCTGAGGCAGCAAGCCTGAAGATGACGGGCTGTAGGGGATCCAAGGCTGCATCTCTGCACTGTGATTTATGTGCGTGTACACATGTGCTGCGGTTGAGGGGAGGCTCACCCTCCCCCCCATCATTGGGGTTTCCAGGCTCATTCAGGCAGTTGTGAATGTTCGGGGAAGTGACCTGGGAGGAGCCTGACCATGTGCACCGAGGAAGAGGCCTTCCACTAGCATCTTGATTCCTGAATTCTCACGGCATTACTGTTGCAAGAACTAAGGAGATTCCAGAAACCTAGTGAAAACTTCCTGCCAGTTCCCACAGGGGTCTGTAGGACTCTCTGCAGGATCTTTTTTTTCAAAACTAGCAGCAAGCCTGGATTCGTAAATGCAAGCCAAAGGGCTTCAGCTCTGTAAGTGGTAAATCAAGATATACTTTACCTGTACTGAACTACTGTTAGATTCTGTTCTCCACAGTGCCTTGCACATCGGATATACCTCATCCAGCTCGACTTACTAGGTTCCCCACCATCAATAAAGTGCTGTAGTGTCCCATCTTGGTCATATATCTAGAGAAGAGGTCAGAAGGTCAAGTAGTTAGAACGAATCATCAGCAATCATTTTCCCTGCTTCCCTCGGTGTCTTTACGTGTCGGCTGCAGAAATGTATTGCCTGTAGGTTTGTGAGCACTTACTGATGTTTGTGGAAACTCAACCAGAATAACGGGAAAATATTTTTTGGTGATGCAAGCCGATCGTGTTTTTCTTATCAAGCCAATCTTCCCTGTATTCAACATATTTCTGGTATCTCAAGGATGTGAGTGACCATGTTTCCCAAAGGATATTTAAACCTATTTTGACAGGCTACTCTTAAGTAATGAGCTGCCAGATAAACAAAGCAAGCTGAAGAGAGAGGCCACGCTGACATGGCTGGAACGTCCACACGACGGGCCTCTGAACTCAAAACACATAACTGTTTGAAGGCATTCAGGAGGCAGTAACCATCTGCTAGACAAGCTCAGTGACACCCAGAGGAAGGCAGGTGGAGCGGTGTGGAAATGTAGAGAACTGGTGAAAAAACAAACAACCCCCCCAAAAAAAACCCAAAACCCCTCCCCTGATTCAAATGAAATAAATGGACTCTCATGTCACAGAGGATGTGGGACTTCAGTTGTCAGAACCTGAAATTCTAAGGAGGACCATCAAAAAAGAAAGACCCTCAAAAATAGAAAAAATTGTTTCCTATGGATTTTCTATGTCTTAACTGAGGTTGGTCTGATAATGATTGCTTAAGGTCATCTTATGCAAATTTTCTTTTCAAATCATACTCAAGGAAATGAAATGTGCTTCAAAGCAAAGAGCATGCGACAAAAAGTCTCATGCATAACGCTAGCCAGTCCAGCATACCCGGGCCCGGGAGTCAGCGCCGACCACAGAGGTAATGGGCTCCCACTTCCAGAAACCAGGTCAGCCCTGGGCACCTTGTAGGATGTGCTATCTCGATGAGTGGGAGACCAGGGGCTTACATATGTACAACAACTCCAGAAGGGAGTCCCAGTCCTAGGGGTATCTGAGACATAAGGGGTAGAGTCATCAGAAAGACCATGGTATGGCTGGTCCCTTTCAAATAAAATCAGTGATGGGATCCTGGTAACTGCTGAGGTGTCCCCCAGAGCATCCTGACAAATCATTTTCTTACCCTCTGATCAGCCTTTCCACTGTTCTCTTCCAAACAGAAATGGAGAGTTCGTCTTACAGAGAGACTCACTGGTTACATTAGACCCTAAAATTAGTATCGTCATTCATATTAATTCAGCTCAGTATTTCTGTTCTGGGGGCCAGAGGGCTTAGTGATGACAGTTTCTTTTATTATCTCCAGTCATTTTCAAACAGCTTTTTTTTTTTTTTTTTGCTTTTCTTCAACTCATTTGTCTCCACTCCCAACCTTTACACGAACCACCCCACCCCCAATAAAAGGCAGACATCAATCTAATGACGGCAATGGTTGGAGAAGCTTTGACTAGATGGCTTGCCAGCGTGATCACAGCTGATAATCAATGCTGCCTGAGAAGAATAAAGAGATTCCTGAATTAAATTATATTAAAGATTAATGGCTTCTCTAAATTCCTAGTTTGAGGATCGTGGCAGAGAGTAGAATCCTTTCACGGGGTGGACACATCTGCCACCTGAGTAAACTAATGAGAGATTTTGCATTTAGGTTAGGTCACACTGTGGGTATTCCATTGTACTTTTGCTTTTGTGTCCCTTCTAGGAAGCTCTAAGATTCAAAGTCTCAACCCTGAGTCGGCTGTTGACAGTCCATGCGACATTGAACAAAAGCCATCAGTTCTTCAGACACCAATGTTTATCTAAAATGGAGCCAAAAATGTTGATGACCCAGCCCTCTGCCCTATCCTTCCCCAATGAACAAACTTTCCTTGAGAGCTGCTGCTGAAAATAATTACAAAGCATTTTGAGAAGAACAATTCTCCTCTGTGCTTCTAACCAATGTCATGAACGGCACATAAAACTCTCTAACCTTTGCGTGCAGCGGGTGCTGCCTTGAACGATGGCACATCTGAACACCAGACACTAGCCAGTCAGTCTTGAAAATGAGTATGAAGAGGTTTCTTCCTACACTCCTGTTTCAGCAAAAATCTCCTCAATCTACACAGAGTGTAACTACAAGAATCCTACCATTTTTGCCTTCTTGATACCTGCCTTGAGGAAAAGTAGATGGCTATTTCCAAGGTTTTTTCCAAGCATCACAAAATGTAGCATAGGACATGAGGATGTGCCTCCCTGCCTTCAGCTAATACTGATTTTACACTATTTCACATGGAATGGTGATGGAAATTTCAGGTACCCTGTTAGATTCCATAGCTGTGCACCCAATCAAAGTATAAGAAACTCATTTGATCCTGATGTTGTTTTCTCCCTCAGCCCCCAGTGCCTGGCTACCACCAAATCCAGTTCAATTCACCACCCTCTAAATGTTTCTCAAGTGCATCCATCTCTCCCCTTGCCTTGTCACCCTCCCAGCTGGGGCAGGATTTCTTGAGCACCTGTGGCACTGCATCTAGCTCCCCACAGACCTCCCTATACCTTCCCCGGGTCCCTCCACCCAGTCTCTACACCACAGCCAGACTGCACTTTCAAAAAACAAATCTGATTACATCCTTTTCACTCAGGTCCCTCCTCAAAATAAATGCATCATGAACGTCATAAAATGTCAAGTCATGACAACAGATGTTTGTACATGTGGCACTTCCTCAATTGGGCTCAACATGCTAATAAGACCAAGCACCACCTATCAAAGTTATTTAGAAAGGCCAAAAATGTAGGCCTGAGTACTTGGCTCACAACGATACTGAACCCTTTCTGCTCTGTGCTATTAAGAGCTAACAGTTAAACTCAGTGTTTCTTGAAAAAGGAACAATGGGTCAGGAGGTATTACTGATGCTTACTTCTGTTCATTCCTCTGGTAAAAGGAGAATAATAGTGGGAAAACCAAGATATTCAAAGGTGATCCTAAACAGGAACTAAGGATGATCTCCTCAGAAAAGCTCAAGGTACTTGTCTGGACCCTATCCTTAACTTTCATCATCAGTCCAATTTTGTTTCCGTTTAAGAGTTCAGTGTTTTCAGTGTTTTTAAAAAGGGGATATGTGGGGGCACCTGGGTGGCTCAGTCAGTTGAGTGTCTGACTCTTGATTTCAGCTAGGGTCATGATCTCAGGGTCGTGAGATTGAGCCTACATCAGGCTCCACACTGGGTGTGAAGCCTGCTTAAGATTCTCTCTCTCCCTCTCCCTTGGCCCCTCTCTCCCTTACCTCTCTCCCTCTCTAAAAAAATTTTAAAAAAAATTAAAAGGGGGATATATATATATATCAGTTACATGAGGACATATATATATATATATATATATATATATGTCCTCATGTAACTGAACACTGTGCCCATATCCATCTACTCTACTGGACAGGGGCTGACTTCCTTCCTCCAAGACAAAAGGAACTATAAGTAAGGAAGTATTTCAACAAGTTTCAGGCTACAGCAACAATTTTAATTTCAGGAAGGTATTTTTTGGCAGTCATATTAACATCTACATTTGTGTGACACTAAAATGAAATTCTAAGTTAGATACCTAGTAGGTCTAAAAAAACTTAAAGAAGTTAAGGAGCTGAATTAAGGCTAACGCTGATATTCATTTTGTTTTCATTTCCTTTCAAAAAATTGAAAATAAGCAGGAAAATATCAAAACTCATACACAAAGTGCTAAGACAATCCTCTCAGGATCTTTGAAGATGTCAACAAGGTCAGTAATTTTATTCATTCAAATAATGACAATGAAGGCAAGACAGTGAAATTTATATTAAGAGGAAGATTCATTTGGGAAGAAAGCTTGAATAAAGCATAGTTTTGCTTTAAACTTTGCGCTTTGTTCTGAATGAACATGAACAACCAAAGGTTTCATACTTGCTCAGTTCTTTCTAAAGAAGCAAAGAAAGGACCTTGTGAAAATGGGGAAAATATATGTAAAGAAACACACAGGATACTTGGTGGGGAAAAAGATAAAATTTTACAGTAGACAACTCTCAAAACTATAGGAAGTATATCTAGCATATTGGTTCTAGAAAACTAGTTTAAAATAATAATTGTTTTAAAAGGGATGAAAGAAAGCAAGCTAGCTCCAGCTTTGCTGAAACGGAGGGTAAGAAAGCACAGTCATATTGGGAAACACTTTGGTAACATCGAAAGAAAGCTGATGATGCATAAATCCTAGGACTCAGCAATATCACTTCTAGGAAATGATTCCACTGAAACCAAGGAGACAAATCCAAGGGCATTCACTGTAGCATTGTTTGTAAAAGTAAATAATGAGAAATGATGGAACTATCCATCATCATAAGAATAAATAAATTGTGCTTTAATTATCCAATAAAACAGTATAAAACACTTAAAGAAAATGAACATGTGGATCTGTTTGTATTCAGATCTGGTTGATAAGGATAAACATCAAGAACAGAGAGCGGACTGAGAAAAACAGGGTGCAGATTGATACCATTTGTTAACATTTCAAAATATACAAAATAACAGTCAACAGTATATTTTATAACAGTGTATATTGTAATATACATATAATTAACTATACATACAGTAAATTCTGAAAAGACATTGATAAGGTACTTGATAACATTATGAGAGCACTGGCCTTGGGGAAAAAAGGAATGCCGGCAAAATAAAAGGAATTTATCTGAAGCTTTATCTGAAAAGCTTCATTTTTCTTTAAAAAAATCTGAAGAGAATATGGCAAACACTTAAACACTCACTTTTTTGCTGGCCTATATATTGACATTTATATATTATACTTTGTGCTTTTCTTTTTTATTTTTTTTTAATTTACCTATGATAGTCACACACACACACACAGAGAGAGAGAGAGAGAGAGAGAGAGAGGCAGAGACACAGGCAGAGGGAGAAGCAGGCTCCATGCACTGGGAGCCCGACGTGGGATTCGATCCCGGGTCTCCAGGATTGCACCCTGGGCCAAAGGCAGGCGCTAAACC